GACACAACGGAACGAGTGATTTCCGTAAGAACGATCGGTGAGCGCCCCCTGCCATTGTATATTCCCGATCGAAACCGACAGGGCAACGGGCTCGTGGCCCGGTGGGTAGAGGCGTGGACTTCTAGACCAACAGGTCGGGAGTTTGAGCCTCGGGTGTGCCACGCTTCGGGGTTGGATATGACTGACTGATGACGGCTAATAAGTCAGAAATGGCCATTCCAGTCTCCCTTGTCTTTGTCGGTAATACCATTCTGCCTATGTGGGTAATGCCTCTCAGTCGATGACTTTGAAGGCTGATGGCCCAGGCTGAATGCAGGACTGCGGCAGACCCGTCTGGCCTTCAAGGATACTGTGCGTCGGCTTTTCAGCAAACCGTTGCCCTCGCAGCCTGAAATGCGCTGGCAGCTCTCTGGCACCTGGTTCCCCGCCGGTGGATGCGCTTGCGCTCCAATGGGTATTCAGGTCGTGGGCATGGTTGCCCAGTGACTTGTGTCATTCTCTCCTCTTTTTGACCCACTTTTGTTATTATTATTATTAATTACAATCCTGGTCAAGCGTTTGTCGTGGACTAACGGGTGTAGTGGTATGCCTGGGTGCCTTGTCAGCCATCTGCGGCCTCTTCCACCTTCAGCTTTCTTGGCTGTGTCTTGATAGTGGGTCCAGGTGGGGAGAAGAGAGTGCCGCAAATGCGGTGCAAGTCTACACTCGCTATAAACAAATTCAGGCGCTAGTCACTGTCCCTGCTCTCACCGTGCCGTGGAGCACACGGTGGACAGTGTTGTGTGTGCAAGATAGGAACGGCAACGTCGAGGACAACATAAAGTTCACAAATAATGCCCGAGTGAATTTGACATAAAGAAAAGATGGAAGATTGAAATACAGGTTGACTTCGAAGTACCAGATAGATGAGATGTCGAAAAAAAATGAGTTGGGAGAAAGTCACAGTTTAAAGACACGTTCTTTTTTTCTGGTACCCACGCGAGACTTGCTCCAAACCTTATTGATCAATCTCAGTTTGACTAGGTCGCCGGCAAAATTAAAGTCGACAGACTTAACACAGTTTTGAAAAAAACGAATATACTTACGGCTGATAGACTGAACAAAATGATTTCGGAAGACGTCATTTGCAAGTCGAGGGGTAGTTTACCCCGAACAGCAGCAACCGGATGCGCTCTTAGGCAAGAGGCAGGCGGGGAGAATATTAAAAGCTGGGCAATAATCGAAGAACGCACCCGCGTTAACTTAAAAACTTTCGTCCGGGTCCCTGAGCGCGGAGTGAACGGCAAGAACAGCAAGAGCGAATGCTGCCCCAGGACTTATCCGCGATCTAGTTCTTACTGAATTTTGGCACTGACATTGTAAGCAACTTTCCAGATGAGACTGTTGATGCTCTGCCTTATGAATTTTCCCCAAAAACCGTGTACGGCAGTCGCTGACCGCTAAGCAAAAAACTACCTTTCAAAGTGTTTCATAATGCATCCAGGAGTGCACATAATATTGCATGACAGTGAAGTGGGAATTTTTAAATTTAGACATGACGTAAATGGTAGTGCTCTCACGAACTAACGAGTTATATCACACGAGTCCCTAGCCTTAAAGGCAGCAAATAAAACTGAGCAATGAATAATATAGAGATTCTGAACGTTAAGTAACCTGACAAGAGAGTGCGACAGCAAAGCAAGCCAACAAGGCGGTTTTTCAGGTTTTTTGCTTTTCGTCACATTCAAGCCAGCAATCGGGTCAAAGACAATGGACTAAATTTGTAAAGGTAAATTAGTTCGTTACCTCACCACAGATATTATGGCGGTAAGATGTGGCTATGCAGTTGCACCTGATGGACATAATACTGTTGACCTACTTAAATATTCTGAATTGATGTGATTACGTTGGCATGCTGTTGCTCTGCGTTGCGATGTGTGTTCTGCTGGCGGCCTTGTTTCTTTGTTGCCGTATCTGCTTTTTTGGCCCAATGTTGGTGGTCCTTCTTGACTTTCGGCCTGCCGTCTCCTTCTAAATTTTGCGGTGGATGCTTCAAGGTTAGGGTTCAGGGCTGCGATCAAGGATTAGAATTGAGATTAGGGCTTAATGTGAGGTAAGAGTTAGGGGTTATATTTAGTGGTTAAGGTTTGGGGTTAGGGCAACTATTCCTCAACTACTCAAAGCACAACCGCCCATTCCAATAGTTTTTATTTGGCATGCAATTACTTGACCTCGTCACCTGTGCGTTCCCCGGCCCCACTTATAAATACCCCTATTATCACCCGTCCCGTAACACCGGTTGTTTGGGTTTGTTTACCTCAGGTGCGGCTACATAACCACATCTGACGGATATGGCATTGTTACTGACACATGGGGCCTACACTGGTAATAGGAAATGAGAAACGTGCAAAAGTCAGCTTTTTGCATGCGTAGGGAATGCTGGACAAGAAAAAGCGCAAAACTTTCGGGCCTACCAATACAGGCCAAACTAGACTTAGTGGGGAGAATCTACTACTGAAGGGGATATCGAGTACATTTCGACTCCCAATAGAACAGCACAATGCTAGATGATGTAGCAGTAGAGGAGCAAATTGCTGCTTGGGAATATTGCGGTAGTACGGGATTTTCTCGCTCAACTTACGACTAAAATAAAGGTCAGATACACAAGCTTGAGGGCAAACAGACTTAGGTGGTCTGAAGAGACAAACGACCAATGGGCCAGTTTCAGGGGAGGGGGGAGGTTTGCAAACAGGAGGTTAAGGTATTGCTCTTCTAGACGTGGGTGAGGAGGACAAATACGCTTCCAGAAAGTCGACCGGTTACTGTGGGAGCTTGTTGAGCTTGAAGAATATAGGACTAGCCATGCAGTTGGAGAGACTCGACTAGTGTTCTCATGGCTTTTAGGCTGAGGAGTAATAAACAAGTGAGGGGCAACTGACTGACTGGGGTGAAGGCCTATAATTTTGCCGTGGAAGACTGTTCCAAGCAGGACAGAAGGTACGAACTTGCTTAAATAAAGGGAATTGACAGTATGTTATTACCGACAAAGACAAGGGTGACCAAAGTGTGGGACACACGGGGTTCGAACTCGCGACCTGTTAGTTAGAAGTCCACGCCTCTAACCACTGAGCCACGAGCCCATTGCCCTGTCGGTTTCGATCGGGAATATACAGTGGTAGCAGGCGCTCACCGATCGTTCATACGGGAATTGAATTGCCCAAAGAAGAATTATCTTCTTCTGACATTTGTTGCAAGCCCTGTTAACTTAGAAAAGAAAACATTGACGATAAGCCGTTCGGGGTCTCAAGGGTCTATGAGGAGTCTCCGTCGCTTGCCCAATTGGGACCTCCCTTCATTTTTGTCTGCGTTCCATTTAAATTTCGATTTTGAGTGAATTCGAATAGTGGAACCCATCGTTTCGGTTTCAGGGAGCTATTTACAACCTACTCATGCATGTAGAAAAATTGCTTTTTCATGTTACGTGCGAACTTAGTGCACCGCAGTATCAGTGGAGTATTTCTTTTTGAAACTCGAAAATGACTGAGAGACCTATGTGAGAACCTGCATAGGAGTTCCCTAAACATTGAAATTCTAGGACGAACAGATGCCAGTTAAATGCATCAGAAGCTGCGCATGAGTCAAAGTGCAGTCAAGCCAACGCACAGTGCATAGGTAAGGAGAGACGCATTAATTAGCAGAGTTACTTTGTGAAAAAAAGTGCTGCATCAAAAATGAAGGTTGTGCGTTGAACCAGCGCTGGAGGCCGCACCGAAACACTCTAAGATTACTCATAGGATCGCCCTCATAGGAGTGCTTTGGTTTAGCCCTGCAGGCGCGAAAACGACAACTGAAAAATCCACTTTCAAACTGAGGCTAGCAAAATGGACTCATGTGCAATCTACTTCCGTTCACTGCATTCCCGCAGGTAAACAAAGTGGGGGTAAAAAAGGCGAGCTCATGAGGGCAAGCTGTTTTTATCTGAGGCTTCGCATTTACTGCCATGCTTACTGTCAGAGATGAAGAACAGTGGGTAAAAACGCCCTCTAGCGAGCCCGAAGGAAGGATGCAAGAACTATGGCAACTCCGGAACCAGTTAACAAAGAACAGCTACCCAAATAGTTCCATCGGGCGCTGCATACACACTCACCCACGACGGACAAACGGAAGAGAGACACCAACAATTTGGCTCTCCCTACCTTACATAAAGAATGTGTCCGAGGCTACAGAACGCATTTCGTCAGAGTTAGGCATGGGCATCATCATCCGGCGGCTACCATGCGTAGCAGGATCATGAAAATGAAGGATCGGCTGGACGCAGGTGAGCGGTCGGGTGTAGTCTATCAAATCCCGTGCCACAGCTGTCCTTGCCACTATACAGGCCAAATAGGACGATGTCTCAGCTCACGAATACTTGAGCACAAACGGGCCGTTCGGGGAGGCGATCAACTATCTGAAGTCGCCACTCACACGCTGGAGTAAGGCCATGAGTTCGACTTCGCCAACGCGCAGATATTGGCGCGAGCCGGCAACAAGACGGGGCGAGAACTGTTGGAGGTGTGGGCGTCGGAGACCAACTCTATCAATAGACACATTGATTTGCCTGCGTGTTATCACACCCTCCGCCCACGCAGCCAGGTGGCGCAGCTCACATCGCCGCGAAGTACAAACGGCGTCACCACGCCGGGGGACCATTGTGGGCCAGACAGTACAAATCAGACCTAGTCATTAACGTAGATTCCCTCCTCCTTCACAGCACAACGACATAAATTTTCACACGTTGCTGCACTCCAGCAGTCTCTGATGATGGACTCCAGTTCGAGTTCGAAAGCTAATGCCAAAAACTATACCGTGTCAGGGATCGTGCCTTCGTCGTCTTTTATACAAGAACCTGGGATGCGCATATTCTCTTCCATTCGGAAGAACTGTGTGTCTGTCTGTCTCATACGGGACTCTCCTTGTTGACCTCCTGGCAATTGCTGAATTCTGCCGTACTGACAGTTGATGATATCGTAGAACGAAAGTAGGTGTCCGATTGTTGGGTCGGAATTTTCTCTTGGGATGTCTTATCTTCAGGACTCCTAATAATTCTTATCCGTTCTGAGGCTGTGAAATGCGCCTTTAGGACCGCACATCCTGTTATCTTGGTTTATTTCATACCTCCTCATCCTTGTCCGCTGGCAGCTGTGAGTTATGCTGAGATAGTTGACTGAGCGGACTCAGCGAGCTACCCACGTGAATAATTATTAGTATGCCTCTGTGGGATAGCCGGCGCTCTGCGTGTATAAACATGCGGTGAGTATTTAATTTTGGCCGATAGTGGAGACCGTCGCAGGTTGGCGATTTTAACTCCTAGAAGCTTTCTTATTCAGTGTAGATACGTGTTTTTGAAACTCCGAAGGTATCCACTGCAGACGATAAGAAGTCATGGATAATTGCAACGATTCATTAACTCCTCCCCCTTGGTTACATGTTCGTCAAATGTGCATGCACAACAAATGATGTCTGATGTCTGAGGGGGGACTTTCATACCGGTAATTGTTTTCTGGAAGACGTCAGCTTAAGCGGTCTCGTCCTTATCTGCATCAAACAAATTCTGCTTACTTCATCATAAACTGCCGAATTGATATTTGAGGACAGGCGAGCTTGGGCATGCCTCAGAGCAAATGTGTATGCTGCGAAGAACTCCTCCCAGACATCTTCGATGACGTACCTGACTAGTAGGAAAACCCGTATGATTCAAAAAAGCTTTTGTGGTTTTGACTGCTACACGTGAAAGAGGTTACGAGGCAGGAGTCATCTAAGCTCAGGACCTGTTTCACCTTGAAAGGTTCTACCGTTCTTAGCATTTTCTCTTGAGTTGTCAGGGGCTGCAGTCCTGCCCCTTCCATTACAGTTAACGGTATTTGGAGATGACACTAATGACGATAACCATTTCAGTGGCTGTTACTGCGTTGCCTTTATCTTTCCCAGAACGTCACGTTGGGAAAAACAGCCTAAAGGTCAGAAATCTTGGATAATTCCTGCGAAAATCCAGTAGGTCACGAAGATCGGAGGCACGTAAACAAGCATTCGCGTACAACACTTGGACGTAGTAACATGTCCATTTTGTGCGTCCCAGTAAAACCATGCAGAAAGCTACGCAACAAGATAACCTGATGCCAAAAAACCTGAATGATTAGCTCTGGCACCGGCAGGGATCACGTATATTGCTCCCTTCTTCGGTAGAAGACAGGCATAGGAAAGCCCCCTCCCCCCTCAGTACAGGCGTCCTTGTGTTTAATTTCAAGAGAGTTACCTAGTCCCGCATCCTCACTCAAAATTTGGCCCTAACCCAAACCCTAAATGTAACCCCAGCGCTAACCCCACCCTTAGCCTTAACCCTATCCCTTAATTTAACTTCGACCCCATGGAACTTGGTGCAAAGCCACTTGCATTACGATGACGTCGAGTCGGTAATTCGCATCTAGTAGTCATGCAAGAATAACGTCACGGGGTTAGTTATTCGGGATACAAACTATCAGTGAAGACCTAAAAGAACTACTTATGTGGCGTCTGGAAAATAGACTACGTGATAACATATCGATCTGGCTATACAGAGGTAAAACAGATCGATTTCGAGTTCTATTCTTGCACATCTAGTCGATACGAACCACCAAATCAATGCCAAAGAAGCCTTTCAGGTTACCTATCGGACACCAGCAAACTTGTCTAAAAGCCTACACCAACGGGTGCTACCAACGACCGAGGAAGTGGCTATACGGCCAGCGAATCCAGCGCTGTGTTGTCAAAAGACGTTGTCACAGGCGGTCTGTCTGACGTGACGGACACTGACCCCAGGCGGTGAGCGCACGCCGTCCCAACCCCCTGAGGAAAATGATGTTTACTCCACGTACTCGACTTACAAACATTACTCGAAGTCGGGGATAACTACCCTTGCCCTAATGACAACAATACGTCGACCTCTTCATGCGGTTGGCATGGGTACGTTAAGTGTAAGTAACCTATGAGACACTTATAAACCCTATCAACTTCTCATATTTTCATTCTCTATGCGACAGTACAGATCTGATGGTGGATTACCACAACACATGTTTGCTGAATTAATCTTTCAAGTGTAACATTGGAATATTCACCGAAATTAAGTCCGTTCAGTTGACACGAATATTAAAGATTTTAACAATTCTGGTTTTGGCAAGTATCGCTTAGGTGCCCCTCTCCCCAACCGGATAGGGAATAGGAATCCACCATAATACGGATGGCTTCACGCTAAGTTCCACGCGTGTTGCAATTAGGGTTAAATATAGGGTTTGGATTAGTGTTAATGTTAGGGTATTGGCGCCAGAATAAGCAAATCTATTGGAATTTATCTCAAAGGCGCTTGTATTGATGAGGAAGGGGGGGCATTCACATTGTACCAGCCCAAATAGAGCATAGGGTTCTGATCTTGTTTTAATAGACAAGTGAATACTCATCTTGTAAAGAATCCCGGACTAGGCTCATCACATGGGCACGATCAATGTCAGTGATCTGCATACCCGATAAGTTCCACCCTCGTTTGCTATACGTTTGTTCTTTTGTTGACCGTTGTTATCTTTTGTTTTCCACCTTCTGTCTTTTTCCGGGTAAACCCTTTACCCTGATATATGTACATATTTCTCCAACGATGCCTATTTTGTTACTTCCAGAGTTCAATTCATTATTCGTTTTCTACTGACGTTTATACACCTTTACACACTCTGTTATAATAAACTTTATCTTCAGCACCTGCCTATACTCTTCCCCCTAACGTCCAACTCTGATGTGTTTGAGACCGTCTGTGGAGAATGTTGGATGTTCCATGTTCGGATCCTCAAGTTAATCCGCAGGCTGTAAAGAAGAGGAGACTGTCTCCATCCATTATCGCTTTGCTACCTACTGATCCATCCGGAACGGACCTTACACCATTCATTAATGCATTCGCCTTTCCAATAGTTGAAGTTACTTAAGGTTTTATCTAGGTATTTCGGTCGATGCATTTGTTCGGTCTCCGACTGGTTGGAATTTCTTGTTACTTTACACATACCTACTGAGTTGCGCCACCTACTGTAAAAGGCCGTCCATAGTAACATGCCCTGTTTCACTTATCACCAGTCGTTTATTCATATCGCACTTCGATGCCCCGTTAAATAGAGAGTACTGCATACTTAACCATTCGGGCGGCTTGAAGTGACCGGTAACCGTTCACAAACCCGAAGGATGTTTGCTCAGAAGGAGGCTTCTGCTCATTGTTTGTTCGATAAGTCACAATTTTTGATTCCCCCCCCCCCCTGCTATTTGATGACGATCAGGTTGATTGTAGAGTTGTGCCAGTGTGTCTTATGCGAAACTATGCACGAAATTAGTCGCCGGCAGAAAGTCTCCTGTAACAATTACCGTCTGTTCTGTTGTGGCAGGGTCCTGACGAGAAACCTGTAGATTCCTAGCAGCCAGCGCTGGGTTGTGCCTCCTAATTTCAATTGCCACACCCAGTGTGTCGTCTTGCGACGAGGAGGCTACGAAGACGAGCGAACGTAAGCAACTCTAGCATTGTCTCATCTTCAGTGGAGGAAACCTCAGCAGGGCAACGGACAAACGGAGGTATAAACACCAAGGATGGATCGAAAGTCAAACCTGGAGCATTCAGTAACCAACTCAGGTTGAAAGTAGCTCAGATACCTGCCCGAAGACTGCTTCAAACATATTGACCAGAGGTTACAAGTCGCAACCTGCTCTTGTAACCACATGGGCAGCTGCCATCCAGAGGAATGTGTATAAGTGCCCGCTGGTCTGATTAACGTAAATGCCCTTCCAGATATTGCAGCATGCAAGAGCACCATCGGGGCGATGCGCAACAACGCGCGTTCGTTTGAAGCCCCGACCAAGGTCTCAGATTTCCTCCCGGCAATGAGCAAGCAGTTGAAAAGCCCCAAAACAAAAGAGCCTGCGCGAGGTCTGCCAGTCAAAGGGCACATCAGATAACCACCGTCTTGACCTTCCCTCAGCTTACAGTGCTATCCATTTTCACCTCATAAATAGGACACAGACGGTCTTGCATGGTTCTCGTCCTTAGTTTCAGATGATGCGCTTCGGTGGTAGAGCAAAACACCAAATGGATAGGCTCTTTGCCCCAGTCGTCACCCTGTTTGTACGCATGAATAAGCAAGTGCTGAAGCAAAAGGACCTCTTGCTGAGCCGATTTAATTTCGATTAATCCAGGATAAGAATGAGATTACCCACAAAGACAAGAGAGACTGGGATGGCCCCTTCTGGCCTATGTTACTGCCGTCAGCCAGCCTTGCTCAAATTTGATTTCGCAGCACCTAAGCCGCAATTCTGCGTCCTCTTATCATCAGGCGTTATTAAATTCAACGCTCTACAAACTGAGCCACGCGCTCGTGGTCCTGTTGATCATGATCGGGAGCACTAACTGCGTTGAAGGAACGTTCATCGGTAGGGTTGTGGAGCCTGTTCGTTCATTTGTGTCCTTGGGTCCGATCCGGGGACCCTCAGGCAGTTTATACTGCCTGTATTTCTAGTTGCTGTGAGGCTACCTCCTGGACTCTAGATGGAGCCCCGAAGAAGGAAAAGACGAGCATGCCCCGTAACCCGCACTTCCAACGCACTCGTGAATCATAATGCGCTTGAAAAATACATATCTCGAGCAAACTAAATCG